CTTTTACATTGAAGAGAACGCAACAGAACGAAAATTCCATTAATCAGAAGGGAAGAAAGGGTAAGTGTTAAGCGTTGATCAGCCCCTTCTGGGGGAACGCCACGGACTCTTCCGTTGCTATGGTCGCACTCAATCCAACTGCCGTCAAGTGGCATAGAATGAAATCACCCTCAGTTTTTTTTCCTGAATCAAACCTAACCGGTTACTACTGGTAAAATAGGGAGCCAGAAGCGGGCTCATCACGTCCTTCCTGGCACCCCCCCCCCCCCACTGTTGCGGCGACATCAACTACATTTCCAGTGAGGCTGCGCACTAGCTTTCGAATATGATTTCACCCCAGACTAAGCCGCTGTGCAGGGTAGTCCATCGTTTACCAACTCACATCAACTGAATTTGGTACCAATGGAACGACCACAGCCAGAACCAGTCCACGATATGACACCCTGTAGCGCGCTCTCAGAAAGCTGCACCTCGTGTCACCATACCTCCTCCACTTTATTGCAGATGAAAGAGTTTCATGAGCAAATTTTCGAACTGTTTTACGAATGTAATCTTTCAGAATCCCTCAACTCGGTGAGAATATAAATTCTGCTCTAAGTATGCTGTTAGCGACGATCGGTAAAATGCGACCGGCCACCAAGGCAGCTTTCCATCAAGTAGGTATTGAAAACAGTTTTTTTCCTTGCTCTTGGGAGCGTTTACTGTTGTTTATTGCAGTAGTATGCAATTCGTAATCCAACCCTACATAGTGCCGGAAAGGAGACCCAACTTGATAAAAACTTGCATCGCAGCGCACGAGGCAGGGTATTTAGTGATGTTCATTGCTTCCTGTATTGCATGAGCCGGCCCTGCGGTGCCGCTTGTAGCGGCGCTGTAGGGTCACCGCCGTAGCAAGGATCTCCCGAACTACACTTACTTTGGCATCTCAAAGTCTCAATGAAGGATGAACTGTTTGCCGTCGAAAAATCCCGTAGTCGAATGCAACACACACTCTACCCTCGTCATCCGGGCAGTTGATTAGGGCGGTCGTCAACGGGCCGCAGCGCGTGCCAGGAACTATTTGCTTTTCCAGGCTAATTTAGTCATTTTTTCCACCTTGTGAAGATAAGGAGCTGCTAATCTGGGAAAAAGTAGCCAAAACAGTGAAAAGTTGGAAAAAATGACTAAATTAGCCTGGAAAAAGCAAATAGTTCCTGGCACGCGCTGCGGCCCGTTGACGACCGCCCTAATCAACTGCCCGGATGACGAGGGTACTTCTTATTCAGAATGGTGATGGTTACTGAATGCCATGACCTATACACTATTTTGAGGGGTCACCCTATGAACAAGTCGGTGTTCCTATCCTCTCAGACGAATCTGGCACCGATTAACCCTCCCTCTTCCGGGAGGAAAGAAAACTTGGTTGTTCTGAGCAGGAGCCGATTGAAGCTTCGTCCTCCAGTCCATGCGTGTGTAGGCGTGCTACTTGCCACTACGCTACTCTCGCCTCGAGATCCATGAAACAGATTAATAAATAAAATCAACACTTTAAAGTTATCTGTAATGTCCCGGAACTGAGATTTATGTTCAAATCCCTGTTTCGTCTCCTGGTTATACAAATTATATCTTTTGTTGCTAATACTAATTTTGCTAATTGCTTTTGCGAATTTCAGTACTGGATGATGTTCTTCGAGTCTATTTCGGTACCAGCGACGGTACGCTCTACGTTCTTGGCCGCCTTTTACGCTGAACTTATGAAGTCGTACAAAGCCGCCGACATTGCAACGCAGAAGGAGATCAAAGAACTTTCTCCTGAAACGCATCGACTTCTGAGAAGTAGGTTCACTTGTACATAGTGAGCAAAAAAGTACTAAGCTCCCTCAAAGTACTGGACGGGAAACGGTTTCAAACGCAACGGGGAGTTTCTGGGCCATTAAGAAACAATCGCATGGCAGGTGTCGGAGGAAATAGGGGCGCGGGACGTTTTCTGGTGTACGACTCTCTTCTCTAGGCATAGCTCTCCACCTCTGCTGTGTTTGGAACCTCGCAGTTGTCGCCGCTCTAGGAGCTACATTTGGTTCCGTTCTCATTCTCATTTCTCATTTCTCATTCCGCTTGGCACCACCCAGGCCGATTTGCAACGATAACAACTCTGTGTACATAAGTGAAGGCGATCTTTCTTGTCTCCAGATATAGACTGTACCTATGTAATAACCTCCAAGGAAAAAAAACAACAAAAATGAATATTAGGAAGTAGTAGGACATTGCTATGGAGTTATAGGAAGGAAGAAATAGGAATGCTCTGAATTTTGACTGCAGCATTATCTACTTTTTCCTTCCTAATCCCATTTTCAAGGGCATTTCCATTTATCCTATTCCCCTTCATACTCAATGTCCACCTGGGCTCCAGAACGGTATGTTTTATTTTTGGAAGAAGCGGCGAACTTGTTAAAAATTGCATTGAAAAACGGATTGGTTTGAATGGTTATAAGTCAGGAATCACAGATCTCGAGATAGTCACGAACAGAATCCGTTAGCATATTGAACATGACATCGCAAATCGTCTCAGACAGCTCAGGGCGGCAGTATAGGCAAGGGCACTTAGGGAAGAACTTTTGCCTGTTTTATTCAATGCCTAGTCAACATAGTTAAATAATAAGCCGAATAAGTGGAATAAGTGTTCATCCCATGAGTTATTTCGGTGCAGTCGGGCGACGGGGGATGGGTGTATTCAATAGAAATTTTACACAGCGCGATAGTGTGCCCCTGATTGCCATTTTCCGCCAAACTTATATGAATACGAGCCCCCTGGGGGGGGGGGGCTCGTATTCATATATGTTTGGCGGAAAACGTATATTGGAGGAAAAAATATTTTTTGTTCAATATGACCAGCAATCATGGTTACCTGATGTTTCCAGGCGACTTTGCTAAAACGTTCGCCAAAGCAGCCGAAGCATTTGCTTCAAAGGATTTCGAGGTACGTTCCCTCAGTGCATGGTCGATATTACAAGAAAAGAGTATAAAATTTTTCTGAAAATATTTACCCAGTACCCTATAAGATTTTTTTCAGAGAGAGCCTCTGCACGACTATCAAGACTCTTTTTGACGAGACAAGTATGCCGTAACTCATTAGACTATCTACACCTGCTCAATGTTTTTGAAACAATAATTCATATCAATCAATCTTCTTTATCTAACCAGGGAAGGATTTCAACCGACTACAGAAATTGTTATAGAAACATAATTATTCCGACTAAGTTTGAATTGCTAGTTATAAATGCCCAAGCGAGCTATGAGTGGTCCATATCGCCAAACTCCATATTCTTGTTAGTACAGGGCATAAGGCACGATAATTTGGTAGTCAGTTACAAATGATAACAGGGGTGCTATGTAGTGGGGAAAATGATGAAAAGCGAAGTGAAACGGTCAAAAACTTGCAAAAAGCCTTTGTTCTACACGATTCAGAAAGCAATTTTGGACGAGTTTCCCGTTGGCATCTTGCCAATAACCGCTATGGTAGATACGGCTGCATGTATGTCTCATATATCCATGCAGCATCCGCAGCCGCTTCATATCAATCCCTTCGCTTCATACTGTACTTCGCAAATGAAGCGATACGAGCATCAGCATCGGTCGGACATTTGTGGGCGGGCGGGCGCGGTGGGCGTCCGGGTCGGTATGTTGCAGCTTGGTAGGGCGCTATAGGGGTGCCTTCCTTGATAAAGGCGCCACGCAGTCTGCCCAGGAGCGCCGAAATCTGCCGTGCTAATCATGTTAGTCATCCACGTTTTGGGGATTTATCATGCCACTTGCCTTTGAGTGATCACGAAGTACAACGTTCTGGGCAATGTTAGATGCTAGGCTTCCCTTACGAACAGCCGGTGAATTGCACCACTGCAAAGTTTGGTGAGAATAAGGTGATAGATTGGACTAGAGGTCATAGCAGAGGCAAAGGTACACATCATTTCTACCATCAGTTTCCTGATCCACTTCATTTCCACTCGTTCTTGAAGACAACCTGTGCACTCACCTCCGCGGATACTGGTCCTTGCCGTGTGTGGGAAAAACGGGTCAGCCGTTGTAGTAGCGTGCCTCCCACTTCGCCCAGAGAAGCACGGGAACGGGGTTGCAGGGTTGTGGTACAATGCTGCCGTTCGATACTCCGAAATAGTCTCACGATCATTCACGCACCCAACCATAGCCGAACACTACTTATCTGCTCCCTTTCACTTCTGGTTGTTCTGCCGCTGACCGTGTTCGCTGCGGGATTCTGGTATGGAAGCGAGTGCTCCACATTAAGAATAGCGCGAGCGAAGTATTGAGACGGCATCCGGGTAACATTACCCCTACAGCTCCATTTCCGTAGTCTTCTGATTGGGGAAAACGGCACCCACTGCAGTTGCGGAACCGTTCGCTTGCTCATTGCAAGAATTGTCCACAGACGTGAGTGTTCAGCCTGTATTCAGTCTGACCGCCCATAAGTCGTAGGCAAGGTGCAGGTAGCAATTTTAGTTTCCGCATCTGTAACCAGCACTTCAGACGCAAATATACCCGGATTTCCATTTGAAAATTGTGAGAAGTCGAAAATCCTGTCCTGGTCAGCGTATTGCGGGCATGTAAGGAATACCCGGAACAGCTATTTCACACGGAATTCTCACAGAAGTTTTATTTCACAAGGGTTATCACTCCGGAAGCTACCTATTTTTCACTCACTAGAGTTATTGTCGTTATTGTGTAGTTCGATTTTTCTATCATTATCGATTTCAGTTGTGACAGTTTACTCGAATTTTCGAGCCGCATAATAAATTATTAGTATCCATGTCTTTGTTGATGTATTTAAATGTGGTTCTTTGTTGGCCGCCTCCTTTTTCAAGAAGACATGTGAACCTGAACGATTGTGCTAGGGTTCAACTCACCATGGAGGATACTCCTTTCCATAAGTGAGGGTAGGGAGTCTGCAGTTCCGTGCTACTTTCTCCAATCAAAGGGCACGGAAAGAAGGTGGAGGGCCATATCAGGTCGTCGCCACCATACTCCGCCCTTGCTATCCACAGCGTGCAGCTCTTGCGTCGATACCCAGATCCCGCAGCGAAACACGCGCGCGGTGTAGAACTAGAGTTGAGCAGGTGCGGGTAAGCGGCTATAGTTGGATGTAGGGCCGGCCGTTGCGGCTGCGTGGGCGGAGTATCGAGACGGCAGTCGGGAACTGCTACTCTTTGGACCTGTTCCTATACTTTTTGACGAGAAACTCTCATGCTAACTACGAAGAAATCTCGATGCTACTGCAGGCCAAGTGAACACTTAGCAGCTTCCATTCCTCAACGTATAAATCCATCTTAAGCAGGGGTGCTATCGGGCGAAGTGGTGCCGCAAGCCGAGCAACAAGAATATCCTGGTCCATTTCCGGTCGGTGCATCCACTGAGGACAAAGCAGGCTATCAGCAGGAACAGGATGGCGAAAGTGGTCTCCTCGGGTGATCAGGAGAAAGCGGAGTCTCTGGAGCTCGCTCGGAAGATAGCTCTCTCCAAAGGTTACTCCCTGGACCACCCAGTAGGCGACCGAGGTAGATTCCGAGAAGGTGCCGTTTTACTTGCCCTTCGTCAGTGATGGGATCAGCTCCGCCGTAAGAACGGCCCTACGCAGGTCCAGCCTCGACACAATGGTCCGGGTGGTCGACATCGCTCCCCACAACCCTGAAGCAGCAGCACTGGTTCGCAATCGCTGGTACGATCAGTATTGCCTTACCCCCGATTGTAACATCTGCCTTGGAAGGAAGGGGGACTGCATGGCATCAGGTGTGATCTACCTGATCTCATGCACCTCCGTGGGGACGAATACATTGGCGAAACTGGGCTACTACTCCAGGATGAAGGAACATCTGGACGGTTTGAAGAAATCGAGGCCACAGACTCCCCTGGGTGGTCACAGAATGTACGGACACAGAGGGGCGGAGTCTCTGTGAGGATCTTGACGCGAGAGCCCCACACTGCAGCCCGCAAAACTTCAGAGGCCTTCTAAATACGAGCCAAAAACCCCAAGTTGAACAGGAAAGATGAATGTCTAACAATTACAAGTGAGCTCGCCCCCTTCGCTGACCTGTGCGGGCTTCAATCGCCAACGGCTTCGGGTCGAAGGGCTGGGTCAGCTGAAGCTACCCACAGTGATCGTTTTAGCAGTGGTCGACAACTAGCAGCCGTGCTCTCATAATGGGCATTAGTTATCTTTGTGCTTGTGAGCTACGAGACCTCCCTAGACGGGCCTTTAGTCTATGGTGAGCTGCTCTTAAATCTAAAATGGCATTCGGCGGTAGGTCACCTTATCTTTGACTTTCCAGGCTCCGACGAAGGCGACAAGGCCGAAACGTTAAGCCAAATAAACTTGTAATATCTTGGCTGTGGTTAAAACATCTAATCAGAAGGACCTCCGTACAAATGTTCAGGACAACGTTACTTCGGCCGCTGTAGACCAGAGTGCGGTGAAGATGATATACCTTATTCGATGTATCTGTATAGCGTTAACTTTCAGTCGCGCGGTCCACGTAGAGAAATACGCCGGTCTTCCCCTTTTCTGGAATTTTCGGTCCGATACATCATATCCGAGCGCCTTCGGCGACTGCGGTGAGATGATGTCGCTTGCTGTCGCGCGTTGTCGGAGTTGCGTCCGATGACGGAGGTCTCCCAGACGCAAGGTTGCTGGTCCCCAGGTAGATGTCGCATGGGTTACTCTTAAAGCAAGAGTTTCGCAGCTGGGTGACGTGAATTCCATAGGACTTCTCCAGTCAGGTTGCGATTGGAGATGGCTGCATGAAAGTGATGGACGAGACCTTGCTTCTGTTTATCGTGGAACATTTTGGGTATCTTCGCCCTGGTACTCGCATCCACGTTTTGTATGGGCAGCGTAAACTTCATTGATTATGTGACTCGGCCAAACGTTCTTTTGTTTGCTCTCGCCCCTGTAGCTGTGCCCTCATTCAATAACAGCTCAAAAAACCAAATTAGTTCTTCACTCAATTGAGAGACAAGCCAATGCTTATCATAGTACAAAAGAACAAGTTAGATGCTAATTCTTTTCCTGAACATATTATGCTCACTCTAGAGAATCGAAATCTATATCCAGTTCTCCTTCTTTGACTTCCCTCAGATATCCTTCTCCCGTAAATTCGAGCAAAGCAGGGAACCTGAAATGAAGCTGCGATACATTGAAGATTGTAGCATTTCTATCTTTCGTAGGAGCCTCAAACCAACCAATCTATCATGCGGGCATGATGTAAAATAAATAAGTGCAGCGAATATCACGCAGAAGATGAACTGAGTGAAAATCACCGCCAAAATAGTTGCCAGCACATTCTGAAACAAATCGAGCTACAGCTTCAACGGTAGAGATGTACATGCACTCCTCCATCTAAAGCAGGGCACATCATTGGTTGGGGACTTTGTGGAGTCTGTATCGACCGCGCTCCTTCTTTTTTTTTGGGGGGGGGATTGTTACGACTCCGCAATCTCCCCCCAAAACCCCCCCGCCCCTGGCCCTCTGTCGCCTCCTCATCGGTCAACGAGTCCAAACGTTTGAGCGGCGGCCTGGGGCGGGTCGGTGAGTATTTAGTAACGCATGAGACGAGGGAAATCAGCGGGAGAGCTCAACACACTCCCTGCAAAAGACCATGTTAATGTAAAAACATCAGTCCTCTTTCGCTAAACTGGCAATGTAGGAACCCCATCTGCCCGCCTTTACAACGCCTGTGAAGCGGAGAAATATCAACTATCTAAAAAAAATTTTCCGCCCCAGATACGCCCTCCTTTCGCGTGAGCGGACAAATACGACCCACACCCCCTGTTGGGAATGTCCCCAACACGATGTCGACTGCTTTTACAGCGTTAGCTATCCCGCAGTCTCCTGCTTTGACATTCTTCTAATCATTGCCGCGCAAAGACGACTGGTTATTGCATTAATGGGCAACCAGAGCACGTCCTGCCGCTGGCAAAAATTTCCGGAGAAATACGAGCCCTCCGCTTTCCGTCCCTCTAGTACGAGCATTCCCCGTTTTACCTACCTTTTTCCTAGATTTTTCCCTCTTCCCTACCATTTTTCAGCCTTCCCGGATGATCCCCAAAATTTTTTAGTTTTATCCAAACTCTCGAAATTCAGCTGTCGAGCGGAGGAGGGAGGAAGGAGATGTAGCCAGCAACCAACTACTAGTTTCAACTATCAGAAATAGTAGTTTCATAGAATTTCGGCGGCGCCACCAACTAGAATGGTGAGGCAAATCCGAACCCCGCTCGTCCTCCTCCCAGCCAGCGCCCGAAACAAGGAAAACCAAGTACGAAAAAATCTCTCGGACCGTATACGAGCCCCTCCCAAATCGACTCCGCTGGGGATTTTCCAACATACGACGTGATCTGTTGGTGATGCAGTCATGTCTGTTGTTTATTTCTGTGAACATCCACGATCTGCTGGGAATCCACTTAGCCTAGCTGTCGTGTGTGATGCCACACTTACACGGAGTAGGACTGAGTTGTGCGCCATTTACTAAAGACTTGATACTGAGGTCAGGTCGTTTGTATTATGGTCTGAGCGGTGCAGCAGATATTTCCACGTAAAGTCGTCACTTTCAGTCTCTTCATTTTTTGTGTAATTATCATTTCATTTCGCCAATTAATAATATGCCGCTCTTCACTTGAGACCCGCTGCTGCTGTGACCCGCGCAAAAAAACTTTCCGTGACCCTCTAATTATGATGCCCCTTATCGGATCTACTAAGTGCTTCTAAAAACCAGTGTCCCACTGTTGCTGCGCCGCGGGCTATGCATTCCGAGAGAGACAGGCAGGCAGGCAGACAGACAGACAGCCAGACAGAGAGACGAACGGCAGACAGGCAGACAGAGATGGATAGACACATACAAACACCAGAGAGATGTATAGGACTTCGGAGGTCCTCTTTTGAGCAAATCTTTGAACCTTGCTACGAACTAAAAGTTCTAGGTGCAGTTTGACAACGGGGGAGAGGGGAGGGGGGAACGAATGCCGACCTATCTAGGCAGCCTCTTCTCGAGTTGACAGGTTTTACCATGATGGCTAGATGAGCTTGCTCCAGCTTCACAAGAGTTCACAGGTTTCGCCAGAGTGAGACTTGTAAACCGGAACTAGGGAAGCAACGATAGTACAGAATGCCCCACCGCGTTGTCAAATTGCGCCAAAGTTCTGAATGTTTTCAGGGTGGGAGTAGGCGTTTCAGAGCACGTCTGAATTCCATAGAAAGACGAACTGCGCAATAATGCTATTCACTTAGAGACTTACAACTTTGGACTTGTTCGACGCAGATGCCGCGAATCCCCTTTTTCCACGTTTTCCTGCTGAAATATACAAGAGTTCCTGTGGAGTAGGGAACCAACCTCACACTTGCCTCACCATGAGTACTCAAAACTGTTTCACAACCACCAGAAGGATCTGCGCCATAGGCCGAAATACCGCCGGAATCGCCGCTTTCATCAGTACCACCGGTTGTTGACCCACGGGTGGTCCTGTGAAATAGATCTTACTCACAGCTGCAATATCTTCCATTTAAAGGTGCTATAGAAAACCACAAATAAACTTAAGTCCGGCTAACAGTGAAATAGATCTTTCTATACACCTCCATTGATGTAACACAAAGAGGAGTTTTCGTTGAGGGCCCGCTGGTTCAAATGCAATACGCTTCAAAAATACGCATTGCAGCTATCTCAACACACCAGATCCAACGAGTCCGTTCCTTTGCCCCGCTTCCAAATGTACGCGTCTGCCGCTTGGTTTCTATCCGTGAAACTGGCTCTTAAGCTTTTGAACGGATAGGCGGTGTAGACGTTGATTCGCCAGCGATGTTAAAGCCAGGAAGTTCTACGAAGACTCGCCAATCCACCCATCATAAAGTGTAAGGCTCTCCAGCGTGTTCGCAGGACTTTTACGTTTTTTTCCTCTCTTGCACAGAACCTCCTCTTACCGGCAACCCAAGTGAGACAGATGCTGCTTTCGAAGGGTACCAATCCGGAATCAGTTAACAACGTAGCCGGAGTAGGCTAATGAGGGCGGCTTCGTCTTCATGGTGTTCGTCTCGAGACTCTTCCTGAAGACATCCTATTGATCAGCACTAGGGGGGGGGGTACGTTAGGACATCGCGACGTGGGCATTGTGGTGCAACAAGGGCGCTGTTGCATTGTGCCGGGCATGTGCTCTAATGTCCTTTGGAAAGATTAGTCGTTACGCCGCCGGTGAACTTGACCAAGTTTTAGCAACGGAGTCGTAAGACTGGGACCGGTCTTGAAGGCGTTCTCAATGCGATTCCTCGGAAGTGGTCATTACATTCTCCCTTTGGTTGAACTCTACTTCTACAAATCGCTCGAAGCCGTGTCTCACAATCACTGGTATTAAGCAGTGAGGGTGAAATACGAAAGACTGCGATGTCAAATTAACGCTGAAAAAGGCAGGAAACTACCAGGAACGACTTAGACTCGTGCAGATCCGAGCATGCCGCGAAGAGAGGGTGTGTTTGGCTGATTCCCTTCCGTTGGCATCTCAGTGATATAAGTTCTTTCCCTTATCAGTTCATTCGCACCATGCACAAGGGGAAAACGTTTTGTTAGTAGTGGACAAACCCTTCACTAGGGAACGGGCAAGGGGACGTAAGCTGACACTTCGTCGAGCGCGGCAAGGGGCGCGACGTTCCCTTGATTTGCACCACACTTTCGATTGGAGCATCGAATTCCATGTAGACAAGCGCATGTTAATTACTTATGTCTATTTTAGTCATACACTGTCTATTCTCGGCCAATAGCACTTGAAATCGTCGTCATTAGTCGTCGCACGCGATGCCTATGGGCGCGGCAAATCGCGATTCTCTTGCCACATACACCTCACCACTAAGCAATTGATAGAAATGAATTTTGGGCTGCCATCAGTATAGAGCGGTGGGTTTCCTTCATCGCCGTCGTCAGAAGAACCTAGCGGCCTTATCACATCAGGTTTAGCCGCGAAATTTGTTTCATTCTCTGTGCAGGGCGACTGGACTGCCCCGTCCAAGGCGTCTTCACACCAGGCGGACCGAAGACGTACTTTCGACCTAGTACACTGCGATTTTCTGCAGTACATATGTGGCTTTCCCACTCGGAGGTACTCCTATCAGCTCTGCCGGAGAAATCCCCAGCTACGTATCCTTGGACATTTCGAAGTTATGGCTGCACTGCACCCGATCGTTTGCACTTTGGCCTTTTGCGTTGGGCCAAAAAACCATACACGTAGCTGTGGCCCTGGGTCAGCCTACCCTTTGTCTGGTGAACAGTGGCAGCGGATACTGGACTAAGTTGTGACTCGTGGGAACAAAGATTGTTCTCATGCCTATTGACCCATGTTCGCTCAAAATGCGATTGCTGCTCCAAATGAAAACATTAAAATGTTAGGCAGTAAAGAGAAAGCTAGCAAATTCATCAATTAAAATTAGCTTTTCGCAAATAGATGATTTCATAATTAAAGTTGAGCCGCACGTTCGTCCTTTGGTGGTGCCGGTGGTGGTTCCTCCTCTGGTCGTGGATCTAGTCCCCGATGCAGCACTCGTATAAGCATCCGCACGAGCATATGAACCTCTGCCCATTATGACTTCTGCAAAGCGATGTAGACAGACTTTTTCAAATCTATAAGGACACCAACCTACGTAGATGCAATATGAAAATGATTCACACTGATTCGAAGCTCTTGCAGTGAAGCGGTGATAGTGTCGCTTTGCTCTTGTGATAAAGGGCAGCCTCTTGAACCATTTGTATAGCCAATGATAGTTAGCAACTCCACATGGGAGACGGACAGGACAATCGTAATTTGCAGCGCCTTCATACGCAGCGCATCATTCGGGGGTACACCGCAACTTCCCGGTGTGCACAATTTTGGCGATTGGAGCAGTGAAACGCATAAAGGGAAGGCAAAACTCCGTGCGGCTGATATTAGTCTTTCCCATCCTTTTGACACTGAAAATTAAATAACCATAAATCTTAATAAATAATAATGAACAATTAACATTAATAGTTAAATAATAGATAAATAAATAAGTTAATAATATAAAATAGTAATAAACGAAATAATAATAATAAGCAGACAATGGCTCTCCCGCATGCACGACGTCAGCCACCATGCCCATATTACTAATTCTCTTGTCACACACCCTCCACATCAAGCTCGCATTCTGTGGCTCAAG